ATAATTATAATTTACAAAAAAATCAATTTTTTTACAGTATAGAATTATTATAATAATAATCTTAAAATCAAATTATTACTTAGAAAAATAACGTTACCTTAGAAGATTACGAATGGAGATTATATTTCGTTCTTCTTCTTCTGACTAGTCAGTCAGATACAGATTCGTGACGAGACCTTAATAAACTGATCCACACTGTTAATGCCAAGTCGCCAAAGAGATACAATATAACACCTTGTCTGGAAAAAAGTTTAACAAATGATCCGAACTACAATGGAAAGTTTATTTTGGGAATGAAATTGGAACGAAAAGTATTGCAAATAAGTTACCGAATATTTTATAGAGAACAAGTTGATAATGAGTTGTGCTGTCATAGAAAGCCTGCTATGGTAAGTTGGAAATTTTTTTATATACCATAGCTTCATTGGCACAAACTTAGTCGTGATATGATAGGTCGACGTAGGATGTGAGTTATAGTTATGTTAGACAAATAAAGATAATGCAATTAATGCTATACTGTACTATAGTTTAATGACGAAATTGTGGGAAATCGGTCAATGAATTACTCCAACTTCCATATTCTACATATAATGAAGACTTTATGTCGAAGCAGTGTGTAAGTTATGTGTCAAAAATTGCGTATCCTCGAGTATAATGGTGTAATGCCAATAGTTAATGCAATTAGTCCAAATCTTCTCTTAGGCAAAATACCTTTTCTAGTGATTTCCGACCTGACGTAAAAATTGAACGTTTATGTTGTTCAAAATCTATTGCATTTAATTACATTAAGTGAACAAGTTCTTTAATGAATAAATGAAATTGGTCCAAACCTCATATTCCTAATAATTAAGTATAATGATTTCCAATCCTTTGATTGATGTTTTCCTCACATACCCTATACATTAAATTTATCACTTATATATATCTCATGTGAGTTATTTAGCTTGATATTAATATAAATATTTCGGACAAGCAGAATGTAGAAATGAAACTAAGTGAGTCTATGACTAATAATATAAGTTAAAAGGTACCAAATATGATTGTAATCCATTCGGTTTCTTCAAATAATGCATATTAAATTATTACGCAACATTCTTTTTGGTTCTTTCAAATTGTGAGAGAATCTAGGATACAAAATTATTGGTATAGGATAACTGCATAAACCACCGAGCTCACTTGGTATGTAAATAGCCACGGTATTTGCCTTCGGAAGTATTAAATGTCGGAACTGTCATACTTATAACTTACATGACTATACAATATTCAATTCTGAACTAACATAAATGATGTATGTGTATTATAGACTTTTAAATCAAATCATTTACGCCATGAAATTGATATTCTCCGCCATCCCCTGCACTGATTTCATAGCCAATTTATTGCAACTGCTACTGCCAATATATGCGAACGGAAAATAAATCATTCGAATCACTGGTGTTTTATCAACTGCACATTTCCTGCTTTGCTGGCAGCGCACCAACTTGTCACTGTCACACTCATACATGACGCCACATGACAGTTACGCATTGATGCTTCGGCATATCCAATAACACTTATGAAAACAAAGTGCAAAGTGAGTGAATCAAATTGCTATCAATTCGTGTGCTAAGAATTGCAGAAAAGGATTAAACTATGTTTGCGCCGGAGAGAAGAGTGAGAGTGTTGGTCTTGCAACGCATACGTTTATTGAATTTACATACAATAAGTATAGATAAGTGTGAGCGACTCTGTGTGTGTGAGTGTTGAAGGTTTTTTCTCGTTGAACAAACTCACTTTAAATGGAAATTTGTCTCTCTGACTTGGTGATGAGTTTTTGAATTGAATTGCATTTGCTGCTGGAAAAATACTTAAGACAGCAACAATAGCAACAAAAGCAACAACAGTCAACATTAAGATGGTGTGTGTATTAAATGCAGAAAATGTCAGCAGTCCGCTTTAACCCCCCGAGCAGAGCTAATGCGGCACTAGCTGCTACATTTTAACCTCCCACCCTCCTCGATGTGTTACACAAATGACATTTGAATTTGCAGACATACACTGCAGCATCAACAAAATACAGTTATCAAACAAAAAAACAAGTAGCAATCGAACCTATAATACCCTTCACAAGTGCATTTCTCTCCGATCTGAAAGCTATTTTCGGAGATTATAGCGTTACCTACGACAATAACATTGGTTTACAGTGGGTTTGTTGCTCTAAATATAATATAATACCGATTTCGGATACAATATAATAATACAATATCAATTCGGTGCTCACAATTCGTCACACTATGAATCATTTTGTGCGATTTGCTCTCGTTTATTTTTAAATCTTTAATTTTCTTTTACACTACAAAAATCAGAAAACATGATATAAAATAACAGATAATTTTATAATATCAATTTAGTTGTGAAAAATAAGGATGCATCGTAATAAACAGAGACACAAATGTCGAAAACATATGTTATTTCTCATTTAAGCAGTAAGTTTCCTAAAAGACTATGAGCTTTGCAATTTAAAATGGTTTTTTTCCCTTGAGTTATGAAATTCAAAAGAAAAAAACCAATTTGCCTTAAAATACTCAATATTCAATCGTTAATATCTTTTAAACGATTAGGTTAATGAAAAGCTCGTAAGTGATTTTTTTATACAGCAATAAATTTTATATAAAATCTTTGAAACGAATTGTAAATTGTTAATAAAAAAAAATATAAAACGGTAGGGCAGTGCGCCTTCGCTGTACATTTAAGAGCTCATACTTTGAGAGATTTTCTTAGAGGTATCTATCAACCAATTTTTCAGAATACCAAGTGAAAGAAATATTAGTTTTTTTTACCCATTAGATTGGTATATACTTTATAGGGTCTCCTACATTTCCTTCTGGGTGTTACAAACCTTCTGGTAAAGATATAAAAATAAAACATGAACTGGCACATATTAGCAGAGCTGCCGATAGCATGAATTTGATTGTATGTGTTGTTGTGGGCGTGAATATTCGTTGGTGTGGGTGCGAGCGTGTACGATCGCATATCCGGCCGTCGGGATTTGTTAAGGCAGCTGTGAATTGCGCAAGCTGCAAGCAGAATGGTGTCCATTGCATTTGAATTTAGGAAATAATAAAAACAACAACAACCACGGCAACGGCAGCAACTAAAATGAAAAAGTTAAAATAATAATATAAATGATAACAGCCAAAGTTGCAGCAAAAGTCAAGAAGAAAACGCTAAAAACACATGCACAGCTGTGGTTGGTAAACAGCAGCAATCGCACAAGAACAAGCACGCATATACATACATACGTATATAGCGCTACATACGAGTATGTGTAAAACTTTTTTCATAACTGCACATTTTTTCTCTAGCACTGCTGCTACAGTCTTCGCACAGCTGACAGCAAATTTGCTAGTGATTTCCCAGGCTTTTAGCCAGCTACGCGACAGTGGGTACAAATGATATCAGTAGTCACAACAACAACAAACACACATGTCGTTGCTATTGTGCCACATTTGCAACATTTGTTGACAATTGAATTCGAATTTGGTATTCTCCGAATTTTCGGTTATTTTCCTAGTTTGTTGTTTTTGCCTTCGCTTTTGCCTGCTTACTTGGTTCCTTACTTTAGCTGCTCAACTGCTTCTCGATTGTCTGCGTTACGATTGCATACGTTTTCTAACGATTTGTTTCTTTTTATGTCAACGCCTTTATTGTTGTTTTTGTGCACGCTCACTTGCAAACTGCTAACAGCACATGTGTCTTTGTTGGTGTGTTAACAACAACAGCTTGCCACAAGCGACATACAAATTTGTGACTTTTTGAAAACCTAAATGGCATTGTCAGTAGCACAACGGCGGAAGGGAAGCGCATGAGGGCGACTAGAAGGACAAGGAATGAAGGCAAAAAATAGATAAGGTTCATAACATACTAAAGTAGAAATTGATAACCTTACTTTGCAGCAGCCGATTTTGAAGATGGTGAAGGCAAAATTAGAAAAATAAAGTTACTTACGGCTGTTTGACACAGTGCAAGTGAAAATAAAAACATTTTTATATTATATAAGTAGCTGGAAGTATATACATATACATATACATATGCATATTTGTGTGTTGTGTTGTAATGCCAAAATCGGTGTTATCGGTAGACGGAGGTCATAAAAAATAAAATTCCAACTGCCACCGATGCCTAATTTCGAGCGGGTAATTTTAAGATTAGTTATTTTCAAAATATCGTCCAACCTTCGTACTACTTTGTTATACCCTCAACAGGGTATATGAAGTTTGCCTTGAAAGGAAGGAAACTATAAAATATAACATACATATATAAGTGATGAATATGATAAGCTCAAAATGAATATAAAGATCTCCATTAAAGATTTTGTTCTTCAATAATTAACCTTAATTGTACTTGAAGGTTTTTTATATGCAACAACGTTGGTATAAAAAATAAGCAAAACGTTCCCGGTTGAATGCAAGCCGTATATAATTTTGGCACCCTTAAAGGATGTTGTAACTTCGTTACTGCCAATGTTTTCATTTTTTCTTATTCGAGTTTAAACTGTTATATTTCTCTACATGTCATATAGACATTTTAAGACCTCGAAATTTGACGCTACAAAAACATTGTGTCCTAAGGCAGTTAAATGAAGAGTAAAAGTTGCAAAAGTACATTAATTTTTGTTGCCAAGGTGCAAGTTGAAATGAAATTGTAGTGAGAGAGCGGAGTTAAATGTACATATGTACGTAACTTCAGTGGCAAATATATAGCGGTTATATTCATAATACAATAGTAGTAATTTGGAGTATTGTTATCTCATACCAAGAATTTCGCGTACTCTATTTTTAGCTCTAGCCTCTTCCCAGCTTAGCAGAATTATATATAAATCATTAAAACTAAAATATTTGAATAATAAAAATACAATACTCATTGTGTTTTCGATATTGAATAAACTGAATTTTTAAGCGCCTTCCTAAATAAAGTTATTATGTTCAATAAAACCTCTTTTTATTCCAATTTCTTTGCAGATCTTTATTAAAACCAGGGACAAATTTAGCTGGGAGCAAGCCAAAATGGATTTTTTAAAGAAAGCTGTTATGAGTGGTAGAGATATTTGGTAAACTCCTGTATGTGTAAATATTGCTACCTTTCTGACGGAATTTTAAAAGGACTTCAAGAAAATGTTTAATTTAATTTGCAACAATTTTTAAATAAACTTAAAAGAAAATTTAAACTCCTTTTGGTAAACCTGCTGGAGTATAGTTATATATAAAGACTTGACAGTTGGTAACCATAACAGTATTTCACATTGCCTATTGCTATTGATCTAAGTATACTCAAAAATGCAGATAACGATCTGGTGTTTTCCAATTGATGAAATTTAAGGGAATTCGTTTTATATTTTCTTTAAAAATATTAAATATATTCAAACTCCAGAACTTGCAGACTACTGTGGGCTACTGGTCTTGTGAAGTTTCCTGTTTTTGGCATTTCTGTCGACTATAAAGCCATGCATAATGTAGTACATATGATATTCAGTTGCCTTGCGGCTACTATACTCCCGCTAGTATCCTTACACAATGGGATGTTATTAATAATCGTTTCAAAATATTTACTTTATATAATTAAAATAGCTTAATATTATTTACCAACTTATATTCCACTTGTTCTATTATATCTACGCTATATAAGTAGTTAATTATTGAAGTATTAGTTACCTAATTTGGCTTTACTAATGCATTTAAACAACTCCCAATCTTCTCTGATATTTCAAAGTAAGTAAAAAAGCACTTAAGTGTGTTTGTATTTTTGAGCTCGAGCTTATCCTAGACTCCTGATATTTTTATTATTAATTAGTTAAATTAAGTCTTATGTGAGACTGCTAACTAATCTAACTTGTTGAGGAGATCATGTTGAGTTTAACGCAATAGCAATGCAATGGTTATTATTTATTTTTTAGAAAAATTTCCATCGCTAACATAAACGGGGAAGCTTCATTTGAAACCAATATGCTCATTCCTTTGGGATATATTTGAGTTTTGAGCTTAATCTGCTCACCATACGCAAACCGTGTCAGGAAGTGAGTAAGAACTGTCAAATTTTCTCCGACTCCAATGACACCAAAAGTCGGCTGACGTACTTTGTACTTGTATAACAATATGAAATATAATAAATTTTTTTTGGCAGAGTAGATCCTTTACCTATGACCGTATGGCCAGAGAGCTGAAAAAGCATTACGAAAATATTATGAACTTCAAAAAGATGTCGTTAACAAACATTGTTAGATTGGCAATGCTAGAGACTTGCTTTCCTAGGTGGACTCTAGACTTTAGCAAAAAAAATATGCTTGATTTTGTAATGTATTTTTGTTAACTAATTTTTTTATTTTTTGAAATTCATAAACTGGTACGTAAAATTAATGTGAAAATTTCATCAAAATTCGTAAAAACTGCGCAACAAATAACCGAATTCTTTGTAAATACGATTGTACTTTTCATATATTAAAATATTTCAAATAATATTTGCGCTGTTATATAAAATATAATCAGTTGCAGCTTTTGACATAAAATTATTGAAATAGCGTAAAATAAAATAAAATAGAAAATGTATACTGAATTAAGTCGACTATAGTTGCATTAGAGTAAAATTGTGTAATGTAAAATTATTTGAATTATTTTTAGCGGTACTAGTACTGGTAGGAATGGTAGTATAAACAATAGCAATTAATTTTAGATTTAACAATATACCATATACATACATATACGTCTACAATATGCATACTTATGTTGTTATTTTGCATTCGATAGCTAAAATGTTTGGAAATACTATGCAGAAGAAAATATTTGTAAATATAGACTCGTTTATGTAATATATGCTAATGACTACATATTTATGAGCAAATGAATATTATCGAAGAGAAAAAAGCAAAAATTTGCAACAATCGTTTATGCTTACAATGTATATTTTAATTAGCATTGAAATATATTTTACTTCCAAAAATATTAAATGTATACAAATAGCATATATGTAGTAGCTCCAAGAGCTTCAAATTTCTAACAACGGGTGAGCCGTAGAAAAATAATTTTGTGTTTGTATGTCATTCATTCTTAGAAAGGAAACGTATTTTCATTACTTATGCATTTCAATTGTGCAACTGTCTCGGCTTAGGTCGCAGTACAGTATCCCCCTAACTCAGTTTTTCAATGCCCAATACTGGCCTTAATACACTAAATTATCTGATTAACTTTACTCCTTTATGATACTTCAAAATTAAAACAATACAATAAGGTTATCTACGTGTCAAGATATCATAAGAGAGAGTTCCGATAATAGATACTACAGCCTAACTTTTTCCGCATAATATAAAATATGGCATAAAGGTTACTGCTATACCGAAATGGTTGAACAGTTTCTGTCGTGAACACATGCAAACAAAAGTCATTCCTGTTACCACCTTATCTGGTTGACGTGTCGTATTTTGGCATTGTAGAGTTTGAAAGTCATCATAGGGAGTATAAAATTATTGAAGGCTCATTGAAATACGCGTATTGAAATTAAGAGAGATTATATTGATAAAAATAATTTCGTCACCAAAGAGTTTTTGTTAATTTTGACGCAGAAACTTTTCAACAAACCTGTATGAACCTACCACGCGTATGAAATTTTTTTACCGAAACTATTGGTAAACCTTTTGAAATATATTATTGAATCGCTAAAATGTTTTCTGATAATAGAAGTCATAGCTGTTTGTTCAAATATTGGTAGAATCGGGAATTAAGCCTTATATACCTTGTTATAAAATGTTTAATACTCTGCATATATCGGATTATATATTTCAGCCCCTAAATATTACTCTATAATAATTTTCAAATCAATCTTTCAATCTATTCTGATTGAACATATAATATATATATAAAATAATATATATGTAAATATTATATATGATAGCTAATATATAAACCTATAGCATTAAGCATATATATGCTGTCTTAAAATAATTTTTGCATTTTCCAAATCACCATCAAAATGGTAAATGTTGCTGCTAGCTGGCGTTACCGCTATTACATGCGCACTAATGCTAAACTCGTAATTCAATTGTATTGCCCTACTCACTTCACCTAAGACACACCAACTATATATACTAAACACTCCCGTTTTATGCAAATACGCAAACGTTTGCTTGTCATGAAAATCATTTTGTACCACACTGCGTATGAGCACTTTTATTTACAAGTGAGTATGAATATTACGGTGTGTGTTTGTAAATATATGATGTTCATTTGGCCGTCACTGCCTCGCTTATATAAGTTATTAGCGTTTGTTTTTATCACTTTAATTATTGACTAAGGCTGAAAGTGAGGAGCAGTCGGCGAGCGAAAGTGGGCAGCGGTTAACGACGCAATAAACAACTCTGCCTGTTGTACGAATGATGCTATTGAAAATTGAACATTTCGTGGTTGAAATCTCCGCAATTTTCGTTGATTGTTTTGTTGCAGTTGATTCTAACGCCATGCAATTATTGTTTGTTGTAGCGCTGTGTTTCACGCTAGCTATGGTGTCCGCCACTTTCTGCTTGCTGGGTTCAGTAGTGTTGCTCTGTGGGTTTGAACTGTAAATCGTTTTGTTGTTGGCGTTTGTTTTCCTTATTTACTTACGGCCCATGCATTCAGTGGAGTAGTGTGCTCAAACGCAGTACTGTGCAATTGTGGTTCTTAGTGGGTTTTATATGTGCACGCGTAAATTAAAATGCGCCATCAATACCTCCAACAACAACACCTCCACTGCCATTTATGGTTTTAATTGCAAAATTTTAACAAAGCATTTTAAATTTTCGGTTTTCGCTCGCCAAACTTCTATAAATTTAATTGTTTTTGCATTTTCTGTAACGCAATAATCTGGAATTTATAGAAATGTTGCATAAAACGCTTTGCCGAACCTCTATGTAGTAGTTGGGTGTTGCTATTAAAATTAATTTATTTCAAAATAAATTTTATGTTTTTCTAGAAAATTTTCAGTTATTCAATTTTCATATAAATTTTGTATTATGCCTTATGCCTCCGAAATTGGTTAATATTATGAACATTTATTACACCAAGGTGAAATTATTTTACTATCCTAAATACGCCAGAGGGACAATACAATATTTATTAGGTAATATCTCGATGATTAAATAATGTTCTGAAAACAATTTTCTCAATAAATGCAATTAAATTAGTTTGTCTGAATCTTGTTTTTGTTTTCATATAAATGGAATGTATTGGTTTACATATACAATATAGAATATAATAATATAATAAGAACATTTTATTTAAATTTTTTTAATTATCTTTTGTTTTCATTTTTTTTCAAATTCAAAAAATTTTTGCTGATTGAATTCAATAGATACGGCACCGTGATCTTGCTGTTTGACGCAGTAATATCCGAGTATTGATTTCTTATAACCAATACATGAACTGTCTTCAATGTTCTAAATGTTAAAGAGTAACGAATCGAAAATATTATACAGCTTATTCAGTATTTTAAAATTCATGAAGAGCGCATGGGGAAAAGCATTTACATGCCATCTCGGAATATCGAACGAGCGCTGAGGTATCAGAACAGGCAGAAAATAGCATGTGCGAAAACTTCTGTAAAAGTTATAGAGCGCTATTGGGAAAATCAAAGCAAAAACCAATTAAAACCACAATTGATTGCGATGTATAATTTGTATGTGATACTTAGTGGTTGAGTATACTTTAGTATAATCCAAATATTGTCTTGTATCGAATTCAACATACCGACTTCGTTGTTGCTTTTACAGTAAATTTTAGCCTCTAGTAAATTTTAGCCTTTTTTAAAGCCTCTAGTGAATTAGGAATGTGAGAAAATTTCCAAAAAAACATTATCCATTCAATCGTTCTATTTATAGGATAAAAAATATGTGCTCATTAAATAGGTGTAGAGTCCGAATACGCCTTTTCCTTTCAACGAAATGTGATAGCATTTTGAAAAAACAATGCTTCAATTTAGGCTAATGCTTCAATCATTTTATTCTCGATCTTCCCTTTTCTTCCAACAATATTAGACGGTCTCTGTAATACTTATTAATTCAGGCATTTGTTTTGAGATATTTTTTATTAATAACACGAACTAAACTTAACATCATGTACTGTATATCTTGGGAGACAGCTAGAGAATAAGTCCACGTGGTTTTTCGTCCTAATGCTTTTGTTTTTAAGCTGAAATATTTCATCCTGTCCACATCATCTTAGTTTACTCTCCTGCTTTCGTTGTTTTGAGTTCTTCTTCGAAATTCAGAGATTTATGAACGTCACAATTTTCTTCATTTAAATTTTCACTCTAACCTTGTATTGCCATGCCATTTATGCCTTGCAGTGTAGTATTAATGTAATAATGTAACAGTTTTTCATACAAGTTTGTTCTTGAGAATATTTCAATCAATACGTGCTATATTTTTAAATCTTTAAAATAAAGTATACCTTAAAGCTAAAGCTATATTTGTTAGCCAACTATGACCGATGAGCGTCTCTAATTTTCTAAACAGCTATCCTTAAGTACAGGTATATTAAGTTTTACGTATTTATAAGACCTATAAAGAAACGCTGGAGACCATATAAAAATATAATATATGCTTACGACATGTGTCGGTAGATACGCGAACTAGCCCTTAGTTTTTGAGATGTCGATCTGAAATTTTGCACTTTTCCTTTTCCTTAAACCTGCTCATTTGGTATAGCAGGCCACTCATAGATATTAGCTGTCATACAAACTGATCAATAAAATAAGCTCTTGTATTAAAACAATTTTAGGTGTGAATACTTATTTCACGTTTAAATGGCATTGAAAGCTTAATCCCAAAGATCAGAGAACTGTTGTTTGAAATGCAGTTTCTAGATCTGAGCAGGTGTCATGCCACCTGTTGTTGCAATCTCTATATGTACATATGTATATAAAATTAAACTGTTTATGTCATTCTACAGAATCGTAACATGCATTTTGATTATGTAATGATCTTTAGAATAATTTGTGCAGGAAACTTAAAGAAGGTTTGATGTTACATGATTGTACAGTGATGAACAAATTGCATAGAGTGACTCAAAATAATTTGAATATTGTCTTTGCTTCAAATTATTTTAGTTATATTTAACTAAGATTTAGAGTTGCAAAATATATTATCTAGTTAGGTGTTCCTACAACACGAGAATATTTTAATAAAACACATGGACGGGTTTATCTGCTGATATACTGCCTGAGTTATACAAAATCAACCACCGCTGAAATAAATGGTATATGCGCATGTTAACTGGTGTACAATCACATTTTTAGAGAGAAAGGACATTTAAGTTCCCTACGGCACGGACGACTGACTAGCAATCTGTTGCAAGTATTCAGTTTTGTCATAATTAGAGCTGCGCTTCGCTGACAGCTTTCCATTTTCAGAACACTGACACTATGGCGTTGTTACATCAAGTTCCATAGTAGAGGACCTAAGACCGAGCCTTGCGGTCTCCACTCGAGGAGAGTGCTCTGAGGTGCCCTGTCAGATCGAATAACAATATGATTTTGGGATAGCTCATTATAATATTTACGAGATATTGGGAGCGGTATTCTGAAGAGCTTTGATTATATTTGCCCACTTTGCGGAGTTGAACGCATTATTCACGTTCAGTGCAACTAGCGCGCAATACTTTTGTTACCTTCCATCTTTCACTTACTGCACATTTCGCAGTATCAACGAACTCTTAGTGGTCAATAGGCCTTTTTATAAAGCTGTATTGTCTTCTGATAATCCGCCGGTTTTGATCAGTAACTCAAGCGGTTTCATAATGCTTCGTACACTTTACCAATCGTGTCGAGTCCATTCGTCGATAAGATGAAGGTTCGCCTCGGCTTTTAGGTTTTAAGTAGAACCAAATGCTGCACCTTCACGGGTCGGGAAACACGCCTTCAATATACACGCATTGTACATTTGAAGGAACAAACTGGGTCACAGAGTCATGGCTTTTAGGCTCTATTTGGTACCATCTATTCCAGGCGATTTGAGTTTTATTTTTCGATAGCCAGTATTTTTCTTCGTGACTAGAGGGAACTTAACTATCGTTTCGCATAGCATAGGAAGTGGTCTCATGTGTTGGAATAATGCGTCGACGATTTTCCTATAAATGATGCGTTCTTAGGTTGTGCGACATATTTTTAATTTGACATACATACTTGTACGCGGTTCCCAGGGGTCTCGTTGCTTCTTCACAAAGCTTTTCGAACAGCCTTTTGCTACGCGATTGCTGACTTCGGAGTTTTTGTGTTTAAATGCCCTCTGATGCGATTTCACTCGCCTCCCTGGTTACGCTGTGGCGGTTCAGCTGAGTGGACAGAGCCTTC